AACACCAGCCATGAACGGTTAAATAGATTTGAGTGAGTTACTTAAACAGATGCCATGGATGTGAAAATAATTGTCTGGGAAGCCTGTGCCTGCCAGGTCGCCAAGTAATCCTCACACGTCCTGTGACTCAAAGCCAGCCAGAAGGAGTGTTTTCTCCCTGCTGCTCAGTTGGAAATATTTTAAGGGAAGGCACCGTAGTTGCTGATGTCTTGTGTCCCTCCATCTGTCCGTGTGGTCCTGTCCCCTTCCTGAGTGGCCAGCTCGGGGCAATGCTCACCCACGCTCACCGCTCGCCATGTGTGTCCCCAGTGATAGCGTCACTGCAGTATATCCCTCAGCCTGAATTGACAGGCAGAAGAGAAAGTACATAGCAGTGAGTTATGTGAAATTGTTTTATAAGATCAAAGGTGGATATGGGTGGGAAAGGACCTTGGAGGTCCCTGCTCCAGTACCCTCAAGCAGCTCCATTAGATCAGGTTGCTCAGGCCTTCATCCAGCCACATGCTGAATATCCTTAAGGATGGAATTCCCACAACCTCTCTGGCTCCAGTGTTTGGCTACCTTCATGATGACAATTTTTTTTCCTAATACCTAATTTGAATTTTGTGTGTCCCAGCTTGGTCCATCACTGCTTGTCCTGTCCCTGTGCACATCCAAGCTTCAGCAAGCAGCTGAAGGTCACCTCCAAGGACCAGCAGGAGGTCTGGCTCCAGCTTCTCTCCACCCTCCTGCTGGGGAGTTGTAGGCAGCAGTAGGAACCCCCTTCGTTTTTCCCTTCCCAGGTGAACAAGCCCAGCTCTCGGACTGTCCCCATCTTCGTGGCAGCCTGTTGTCTCCCACACTCCTGGGTTTTTGTCTGCTTCCCTGTCAGCTTGCCCCAGCCCGTCCAGGTGCAGGGAGTTACTCAGCCCAGGCTGGTTTGTTTCTTTATTAAATACAAGGTCTTTCAAGAATGGGAAAAAAAAATAATTAGTCACTTAAATGAGAACTGCAACTGAAAATGTCCTCTTCCTTTCTCTGCATTTGTGCTTCTTCTCTAGCAAATACATAATTGTACCGCTTCCCCCTGGTGAGGCTGCTGTCTTGGCTTGCCTGGGGTGGATGTATTCGCAGACGTGTTCATTTTCTCCTTTTCCCAATAGTACTGAAGATCTTAGCTCTGAGTCAGAAATGTGTACAACCGTCGACAGAATATGACCTTCCCGGAGCACATTCCCATTCCCATCATCATGATTTTCTAATTATGCCTGTGACTGGCAGCTGAGAGCATACAGCATCAGAGCTACCACAGCCATTGAAATGACTCAGTTAATGTGCGTAGAGTCTATTAAACAAAGTTTTATTTAATTAAGTAAGTCTTGATCTCATCAAAATCAAGAGGGAGCATTAGGGTGGCAGCATTTCTGAGAAATCGTATTTGAATGGGAGGTGGTTTGTACTTTCTTTAGTATCTGGATTTTGAGATACTGCAACGTGGTGGTGTTACTGCTGAGTTTTGGGCTTGGCCAGTCCCACAGCTGGGGCACGGTTATGTCCTTGGCAAGCCAGCTGGGCTGCCACAAGCCCATGGGTGAACACAAGGAGTTTCGTACCACCTAGCCTTTTTGCAGGTGCACAGCATGAAGGGCTGCACAGGCAGAGCACAGATGGGACCCGCGTGCTGGGCACACGTGCTGGGCCCCTCATTCCAGCCCTGCTGCTGTGCTCAGGGGGTCTGGCAGTTTCTGAAGCACAGGGTGGCAAGGGGCACACCTGCACATCTCAGGTCCTTCAAGGACACTCTGGTTTCTGGGATAGGAACCTGGCTGAGATCACAGACTCACAGAGTGGTTTGGGTTGGACGGGACCTTCAGAGATCATCTAGTCCAACCCCCCTGCCATGGGCAGGGACATCTCCCAACTAGATTGGGTTGCTCAAAGCCCCATCCAACCTGACCTCAAACACTTCCAGGGATGGGGCAGCCACAGCTTCAATGGGCAACCTCTGCCAGTGTCTCACCACCCTCATCGTACAACATTTCTTCCCTATGTCCAAGCTAATCCCACCCTCATTCAGTTTAAAACCATTACCCCTTGTCCCGTCAGTGCAGGCCCTGTTCAAAAGTCTCTCTCCCTCTTTCCTACAAGCTGCCTTTATATATTGAACAGCTGCAGTAAGGTCTCTCCAGAGCCGTCTCTTCTCCAGGCTGCACAGCCCCAACTCTCTCAGCCTTTCTGCATAGCAGAGGTGTCCCAGCCCTCAGACCATTTTGGTGACCTCCTCTGGACCCGCTCTAGCAGGTCCAAGTGTATCTTGTGCTGGGGACCCCAGAGCTGGTTGCAGTGCTCTGGGGGGGTCTGAGGAGAGCGGAGGAGAGGGGGAGCATCCCCTCCCTTGACATGCTGGCCACACTGCTGGTGATGCAGCCCAGGAGCTGCTTGGCTTTCTGGGCTGCAAGCCCACATTGCCGGCTGATGTCCCAGTTGTCACCCACCAATATCCCTCACCAATATCGGCCCTCTGCAGGGCTGATAAAGGAGCTTCATTCCGATCCGGGCTGGCAGAGCACAGCTTGGGTCTTGGAGATACTGCTGTAATACAGAGAAGAGTCTTACAAGACACGAGTGCCCAGAGATGTTACAATGGTTGTGCTGTCAGTGGTGGTGATCTCAGCTGATTCCTGGTGTCTGCACATGGGAGGTGAGGGCAGATAGCCCCATGCCAGATCCCATCATTCAGGCAGGGCTCGGAACTTCCCCAGCTGATTTACATCTCTCGAGTGTCGCATATGCTGTAGTTTCCTCCTCTCTCTAGCTGAGTCAATAGTCCTTACAGCCTGGGAAACTCTTGTGAAAGCCCTCACAGTCTTGGAGAGGCGACTCTGGGAGATGCTGAGACTCACCGACAGGCCCTGTGCTCGGCAGGGCTCTTCTCCTGGTGGGAGCCACATGCAGGTCACACAGGCATGCGTGGGATGCCTGTGGGGCCAGGGAGGAAAGGACTTACTTATTCTTGTTTTTATTTGCACCTCCTCTGCCCCTGCCCATTGAAATACAAGAATTGCTTTACACCCTCCCGCCACTGCTGGGCTGCTCAGAGTCATTCCTGAGATGTGGGCTGTGGCACTGAGGGGGTTTCTGGCCACTTCAGCCCCTACTTTTCTGCCAAAAGCAGCAAATTCAGGCTGGGGTGTGAACACACACACACACTGGCTGTTAGTCAGGGGATGCTGGTGGAAGACGTGACCTTTTGTTAATGCCCTGGGGAGGGCTGGCTGTCGTGGCAGGGGCTTGAGAGATCAGCCCGTGGTGAGCAGAAGGGTTTTGGTGTCCAGCAGTGGTTTTCTCTCCACTACAGGAACCAGCACTGTGCATTGTGTATCCCTTCCCTTGCACTTTCTGCAGTGCTGCATATGGGGCAGGTTAGGGTAGGGGGTCCTGCAGAACGGCTCCCCAGCTCCCTGCTTGCCTGACTAGCAGAAGGGTTATTCCCCAGCTCAGGACTGTGAGGAGAATCCAATGCGGTACGTGGGTGGAAGTGCTCCCTGTCTGGAGGTGGGAGTGCTCGCAGCTCTGGTCTCCACGTGCTATGGGGACGGGCAGCAGATTTTAGCCATGTCTCTAAGGTCTGTGTTTGTTTGCTCTTTTCTTTCTGCCCAGAAACGAAGGAAGAGCTGGAAGAGCTGATGTCTGACATAAAGAAGACGGCAAACAAAGTGCGCTCCAAGCTAAAGAGTGAGTATTTGCTAGCGATGCTGCTGTGGGGCTCTGCCTGCTGTGCTCCTGCCCTGCAGCCCCAGGCAGTGAGTACCACAGCTCCCATGCTGGGCTGGGAATGCAGCAGGCAGGCAGCATTGCTGGCCTGGGTCCTGCGCCATTCCCCCAGTGCTCAGCACTTCCCACTAGTCCCCCATGACCAGAAATGCTGTGGGGCCCTGGCTGTCATCTCAACCCTGTGCTGGCAGCAGCTGGTGTTTGACTCGGATCGAGACAGTTTTGGGGTGGTTTGCTCTAGGTAGGAAAAGGCAGGTTACAGAAGCATAGCCCAACCCCGTCTTTGTGTTCACTGGCAACCTGAGCTGGTACTGGGAGGGGTCGCTGAGCTGGGGGAAGGAACAGCTAGAAGTGGCATCTGCTGTTGCTTTGCAGATCACCCGGGGATGGGCGTCACCTTCCCTCCCCCTAGCACCCTCTAGCTGCTTTTATTTGCCCTCTGTGAATTTGCCCACTTGTGCCCTGTTCCCAGAACAGAGGTGAGGGAATGGGCCCACAAGCACCTGGTGGGCTGTGAGCAAATCCCATGCTGCCAGCATTGGCAGGTGTTGGGGGCTCCCATCAAGGCCCGGCTCTGAGCAAACCCACGGCATGGCTAAAGGTTGGGTTGCCAGGGCTGAGTGGTTGAAGAGGTGCTGCTGTGGGACTTGAAAGCCTCCAAGAAGAGCTGGCTCTTCCCAAGTGAGCCAGGTTGGCACAGGCAGCCTAGGCAGGTGCAGCACCAAGGGGTCCCATCTGGAGAGCCATGGTCCCTCTTCCCTGTGTGGCTCTGACTGGGCTGGGTGGTGCTGCTGGCTTTCTGGCAGTGTGTTGGCATGGGGCATGCTGCCCTGGGGCTTGTGCTTCTTGCTGCCCCCATCCAGCTCTCGCTGGGCTGGTCTTACCTTTCCATCCCCAGTGCAGGCTGGATTGCTGGTGGTGCTGCCCCAGGCAGCAATGCCTCCTGCCTGTCCAGGCTACAGTGCTAGTGTAGTGCAGGAGGCACTGCTGTCTCCAGGCATGGGCTCTATGGGGCAGGTGGTGGGGAAGAAAGAGGCTGTTGGGCTTGGGGAAGGTTATCCTGTCTCGTCAGCACTCCCTGTTGTCTTGGCATGCCTCCACCTTGGGCAGTGCAGGGACAGAGTGCGGCCAACGTGACCATTAGTTTCCACCATTGGAAGAGTCAGTCAATCTCTTTGACAAGCAGGGAGTGACAACAACATGACTGTCAGCCCACTGATGGCTGGGGTTGTGCTGGAGCACTTGGATGAGTCCAAAAGCCCAAGATTGGACCCCAGGGGATTCAGGGTGTCAGTGAGCATGGCAGCATCTTGAGGCAGGAGACAGGTCACCCTGGCGTGGCTCAGATTTGCCTGCAGTGGTCTTCGACATCAGCATGGGACTTGGTTGAGATTGTTGCAGAGACCTGGCCGTGTCTGAAAGGTGGGAGAGGAGCTGGTGCTTCCCCCATGGCAGCAACATTCTCCCTAATCCCAGGGTTTTGTGGGAGCTGTGTAGTCGTGGTGGACTTAGATACAGCTGGAGCTGTTTTTCGTCACCGCTGGCGTGACCATGTCCCATGTGTATGCCAGAAGGAGACTTGTACCTCCATTGTCCCCTTGCTGCCCTCTGTCCTCTTGACGTATGATCCCAGCTAAACCCCAGAGGGAGAGCTAGGGGCCAGCTTACCCATTTCATTGACCAGGGGATCCCTTCCCATGGACCAGAGCCCTCCCCGCCCATACTGGGATCTCTGGTGTCCAGGTGGGGACAGGGTTTTTAGCCTGTGCAAAACAAAAATCTTTTTCCATATGTGTTTTGTTCTGTGTTTTTGAAGGGGCTTTGAGAGCCTGAAGGATTGCAGGGCGGGCTCTGATTCCTGTTTCCTTCTTCCAGAAAAGACTCACTGGTATCATATTTACCTGGAGCAACAGATGATTAGTCCTTGTGCTTTGTCCCAAATCGCCTCATGGCCAGCATGATCAATGAAAGAAAACAGTTAAGACTGATCAAAAACACCATCTGCTGACAACAAATTGACTTCTTTAGGACAGGCATTGCTCATGCAGTGGCTAATTCTAATTACCAGCTTCTTGGGAAAATGTGATTTCATTAATTATCATAAATGTACAATGTTTGCCAATACTGTTCCTTGGGAACAGGGAACAATTTATGACAAGTGTGGAGGAAGACCAATTGCTGATGAAATATGCTGGGCAGGCAGCAGCCAGTGTGCTCGCAAGGGGGGGGGGGGGTGCACAGGAGAAGTGCCATGGCCGTCTGGCTGTGTGGGACGGGACCTTTCAGATAAGCTCTAGATACAGACGCTCATTCCAGGAGAGAATAGGATGGAGTGCAGAATTTGTGCCAATGTTCTCCAGCACTTCCCTGGAGCATGCTGTGCTGTTGGACACCCTCTGCCAGCACTGCAAAGGGTTCCCCAGGCCCACAGTCTTCCTTACAGTGCTGCTGCTCTCTGCAAGTTGGTACTGCGGGGCCATCAGTGCTAACCAGCATGCGGCAGAAACACAGATGCCCACCATGGTGGTGGTGTCCTGCGCTCTGCTCTGCTGTACTGGATGGTGATGGGAAGCCACTGGGCAGCTCCAGGGAATGGAAAGCCCCTGGTGCAGGAGGAACCCGTCCCATGCTGGGCTCGTGAGACCTACTGCAACATGGAAGGTGCTGGGGACAGCCAGGCTCAGAGAGCTGTGGAACATCTGCATTGGGAATGGGGTCTTCAGCCAAACTCAAGGGATGCCACCAGCTCACACCTGGTGGTCTACATGGAGACATGTACCTCTGCACACTGGGCCAGCCTGCTGTTGGGAGCTTTCTTCCAGGCTTTTTAAGTCCCTGAATTTAAGTTTTTGAATTAGCATGTCCCGACCTGGTCTTGAGGAACAGATTTGCACTGCCTTGCTCTGTGCCAGACCTCCTGCACTGCAACCCCATGCCCTCTCCCTGTCCAGAGCACGGTGGGACGCTGAGCAGGGCAGTGCTCCTCCCTGCTGTGATTTATGGTCTTTGGGCAAGTGAGGAATTCATCCCACTTAGTTGCACTACTAGGCATAATTAAAGGGGCAAATCTCTGCTTTGCTGCAGAGGACTGTTCAGCAAGATGAAGCGTGCTCTTGCCAGTCTGGTGGGTCTTCCCTGTGCAGGGCTGGGCAGCTGGCAGACCTGCTATTTTTAGGGTCCCTGGAGAAGTCTTGAGCTTTGGTATTTTGCAGAGACATTTTAGCTCTGGGTTTCCTCCTCCTGCCTAGCAGGGGAGAACAGCACTCCATTTTGTTTGAATACTGGAAAGTGTGGAGATCAGACCTGAGCATTACATCAATTTTGTATTGAAATCCTCATTCACCAGCCTGGGGGTGATGGGTACTGCCCTCAACAGCACCAAGTCTTGGCCAGTGGCCAGGCACTGAGTGCTTTGCAGTAATGAAACAGGGCTTTGCTGCCAGTCCAGGCTAAATTGCAGGCTAGAGTCAGGAGCTCAGGACTGCTCAGTGACAGACGCTCCTCGATTCACAGGCTTCAGTCTTTTACAGTCCCTTTGCCAAACAATCCCTTTTCCTTCTCTAAACAGCATGAAATAATCTGTGTCCTTCTTCCCCAACCAGGTATTGAGCAGAGTATTGAACAAGAGGAAGGACTGAACAGGTCATCTGCTGACCTGCGGATAAGGAAAACTCAGGTGAGTCTCTGCCCTGTGGCACTGGGGAGGGGAGGATGAGAAGCAGCTGGAGGCAGTTGTGGGGTCCCGGGAGGTGATGGGAGAGGAGGGCTTGCTTGGCTTTAGAGCAGTTAAGCTCTGGTGTGCAAATACTGGGCAAAGTAATGCAGCACATTTCCGAATAGATCAGTGAAAAAGCCAGCCTGAAAGACCTGTGACATAAGTAGGTGCAGAGGGAGCTGTGGAGGGGAGGGCAGTGTGCATCAGCTTCATCCTTGTGTGCAAGTTTGGGCGTCTGCATGGACAAACAGGCGGGTGGGTTTGTGCACATCCATGTTAAGCATCTCACTAAAGGTGATTTTGACTGGAGCAAAAATACCCTCTGAAGTGCCAGCTTTGGGGGGAGAACATTTGCCTGCAATGTGTTCAGAAACCTGAAGTCTCTGTGTGTTTCTGCAATACCTGGAAGGATGCTTGAGCTGCTCGTAAACGAGACCAAGGCTTACTGATGCAGCTGGGTAACTCACCTAAAATTTCACTTAATCTAAGAAGACGGGTGGTCTTTCAGCGAGTACTGTGCAGGCCTGCAGCCTGCTGGAAATGTTCTTCCCTGTTGGGGCTGTGGTTGCCCCTCCACCGGGCATCGATCCGGCTTTGCAGTCCAGGAAATGTTAGACCCTTGAAGGGCTGTCACAACTCTTCCTCTTGTTCCCATGAAACAACCAATAACTAGCATCTTCTTTTGATGGGCTTCTTAGCAGAGTTATCCAGGGGTAGAGGTAGAGATGGGGTGCACCTCCCTCTCCTTGGCCCAGGTGGTCCTCAGGCTGCGTTATGCTCAGTTGTGATGAATAGTCATGCTGTTCACACTTCTGTCTGCAGCCAAGGTGGGGCAGAGCATGTTGGCTCTACCAGAGATGGAGATTGAGGGACGTGGGGCTTGTCTGTGGGTCCAACAGCACTCACTAGAAACTAGAAGTCACCGACCCTGCTTCCAGCTGGAGGTTGGGCTGCATGACCTCCTGAAGTCCCTTCCAGCCTGAATTATCCTACAATTCTAACTCCCCTCCCACCCCCCCAAAGTCAAGAAATAGCTTAGAAATATTTGATGAAGGAAGTTTTGGAGTGTCTTGTAGTGAGGCTTTTCTCTCTCAGGAGCAGCTGATTGCAGTGGGAAGCTCTGCTGCAGATGTCCCTGCTGGGCACTGCTTGGGTCCTGGCCTGAGGCAGCTGGAAAGCGAGGACAGGTCACAGACATCTCTCTGATGTCCACGGTGGGTGCTAGTGGGAAGACTTTGAGAACACCAACTGTCAATGGGGTTGTGGCAAGGCCAGTGACTTGGCAGAAAGTGCCAAAAGAAAATTTCCTTGGGGAGGCAGCAGGCAGGCATGACCTGGGAAGGCAGTGCAAAGCACCAGGGGAGTGCCGAGGAAAGGGATGCTGAGGGGGAGCTGGGGACAGGGGAGGTAACTGAGCTTCATACACCCCTCATACAGCCTGCAAAATCTTCACAGATCTCAGGTTAACTCAGAAGCATTTGACTGCTGATGACCTGAGGTCTCATAAGACAAGGTTACCCATGGTCTCCAGCTGCTTTTGAAACTAGGGCTTCAGTTCCTAAAGAATCTGTACTTTGTGAAAATAGGACATGGGGTTTTTAGTCATTTTCTGAAGTCAGAGCTATGTGTTGGACATCCCAGGATTGCAGAGTATGTCAGGGTGGAGACAGGAGAGACCAAGGCCATGGCTCTAGTGGCCTCTGTTGGATCAGCCAGCAGTGCAAATTTATCCAGATCAGGCATAGGCACGCCACGGCACCTTGGCCCCAGCATATGTGCAAGACTTCGTGCTGACTGGAGTGGGAGAGTAGGTGGCACCTGACATTGTACCCACAAACACTTTATTAACTCCAGGTCTTAGAGGAAAGTGGATCCAAAAAAAGTGAATTTGTGCTGGGTTGGCATCTTGTGTTGTGTGACCATGGCATTTTTTTATTGAGTCTGTCCATTGTCAGCTATGGCCTGAGCTCTAAAAGCTGAATTGGTTTAGCTTGATGAAAAGGCACTAGACAGAGGTGATTACTCGTCTCCACAAAGTGTACAAAGCAAAGAAGTGTTTCATTTAGAGGTGCTATAACTTGGCCATACTACTCAGTAATGGGCTGAAAATGTGCATTAATTCTCATGAGGAAGTGATTGTTAAAGAACATGATGTTTTATGGCTTTGGATCCTCCATCTGCCAGAAGGAAAACCAGAGGCTTGATTGCATGAACTGTTTGATGAGAGCTTTTCCCATCATCTGTGTATCACCCTCGATGGAGCAGCTCCCTCCAAGGCTTTTCTAGAGAGGTGTTGTGTTGGCTTTGTGGTGTTGCCCCAGGCCATGGGTGCAGTGGGGAAGCACGTCCATAGAGGCCTTCTCAAGTGTGGGGTTTGACCTGGCTTCTCCCTCCCGTACTGCTGCCTTTGGGGATACCAGGGTGTTACTCCAGCAGACCTGAGCTGAGGATGGGTGAACCTGCCCCTGCTGTACAAGGGTGATTAGGTCCTGATGGCAGGATCAGGCCATCCACTGACAGTTGTGTGCCTAAGCCATGGCTGACTCCTGGGTGCTGCTGCACCCTGCCATGGGATCTGACTTTAGCACTGTCCCCTCTACAGCTGCCTGGACTAAAGCCACTGGCTCATGTATAGGCTGAAAGAGTCACTTCTGTCCTGCAAAATACCGTGCATCAGGCTGTTGTGGGGGTCTCGCTGGGGTGACCCCAGGTTCCTGCTCAGACCACAGGTCCCCTCGTCTCCAACTTCCCACGCGTGGTTCATGGTTCTCTGGACTGTTCTCTGTGCTCTGCAGTGTTCATTTGCTTGGTCCTTGCTACAGAGGTCTTGTTGAAATGTTTACGGCTTGGGAAATGGCACAAGCATTTCTTTGCCCTCTCACTTTGTGCTTCAAAAGCGGTGAGTCTGGGGACCGCTGCTCACGAGTGTGTGTTTCCTATAGGAAGAGGTGAGAAACAGTTAGATAAATTGAATGGGAAGTGTACACATGGAAGCAGCAGAGGGAATGACAGAAGAAGGGATACAAGACTGGCGTGGGTTGATGGCACCTAACCCAAAAAGTCACTGAGATGCCAGCATGGATAAATGCAGCTTCTAAGAAGGCTTAGGATGGAAAACCATTTGGCAGCTTACTCCAGGACAGGAGTTAGAGGACCTCTGAAGGTCCCATGCAATTTAAATCATTCCATAATTGTAAATCAGCTGTGTTGCCTAATGACCCTGAGGCAGGAAAGGTCAGTGGAGTGGAAGATCAGTGTAGCTGGCAGGTCCTGGTGAGCACAAAAGGTGCATCCCAAACACCTCTGTGGCCAGCAGTGACAAAGAGCCCAGGAGATGAGGGAGACCTGTAGGACGTGTCACACACAAGCGCTGCTGGCCATGTGTCTTGTGGTGCATGTGAGTTTGGGGCACAAGAAAATGAGTGAATCCAGGAGGGAGTGAAACCAGCTTTATTTTAAATTTTTTTTTATTGAATAAATCGCCTTCCTGTTCAGTGCAGTCTCATGCTAAGCTTTGCTAGCTCAGTTGCAGCACTCTGGTGCTGAGCTTCTTTGGTTCATGTGTGTGTTTTAAGCAGCCTTGCCTGTCCCGGCTCAGTCATGGGCTTGTGCGGTGAGAGGTCAGCCAGGCTGGAGACATTTCCCCAGGGGCGAGGCACACTGTGGTGGTCAGGCAGACCATCTGCATTGCCAGAGACTGTGTTGAGGGCATGCATGTTGGGTCCAGGGCACCTGCAGGATGGCTGCATGGTTGGTGCAGGGCTATGAGCAATGTCTCGTTATCGTAGCTTCTTAAAATGAGCCTTCTCTGGGCTGAAGCTTTGTCTTCTGCCCCACAATGCAGGGTTGCTGTGTAGTTTTTACTTCGTGTTGGCCAACCTTCTGGTGGTCCTTTGGTGAGAGAGCACCTAGCAAGATGCAGTCATTGCTCCAGCAGTGGAATCTGTGTCTGCATTGCTGCAGGGCGAGCTCCAGTGCCTTGTCCTCACTGGTTGTACTGGAGGATGTGGAGGAAAACAAGATGTCTCAGAGCAGAGAAGCAAGGCCTTGTTCTGCAGCAATGGTTGTATTTTAGCAAACAATTAAACTGATAAAGGCAACGGGAGCTGCCGGCATTGCTCTTCAGCACCCAGGGGTGGGGATCCAGGCATGGATCTGTTGCTTTCGCAGCAGGTCTACACACAAGTACAGCTCAGTAAAAATCCTACTTTCTCTAAGTGCTCTGCAGTGAGGCCAGAGGAATTTGGGTGTTTATAGTTTATCTCCTTTTCAGTCTGGGAAGCCACTAGAGTAGTCTGCTCTCCCATGCCGCAGTCAGTGCTGAATCAATACATGGGTGACGTTAACTGATCACCTCTGCAGAGGCAGCTTCCAGCTCGGAGCCCAGTGTTCTCCCGGCCCTGCACAAGTGGTGAGAGGCTGTCGTGGCTGAGCCTGAGGCAGTGGGGAAACAGCCCTCTGCAAAACTGGGGCAAGAGAAAGGTTTGTCTCTAGAGCAAGTGGAAAGGAGAATTGCTGGGGCATAGCAAAGCCAAAGCAAAGGAAGGTGCAAGAGCAAAGCAGGACAGCAGCAAGTCCCTCTGCAGGCTAGCTCTCCTTGTCCCTCCCCAGAGGGATCCTGGCACAGGCAGAGCTCTACTCTAGCTGGGCAGTGTTGGGGAGAGTCAGAAGATCTCTTCCCAGAAAAAACCCTCTCCTTTACCACTCCAGAGACATTGCTGTGTGCTGACAGCAGTGCTGTGAAACCCCCACCGGGCTTTCCACTCTGCTGTGGTCTGCTCTGTGCTCTTCAGGAGCTGTTTGCCATCTCAAATGCATGTGCTGGGTGGCAGTGGCAGGGAGGGGGAGAGCAGGGAGGTGGCAATCCAAGGTGGCTGTCCTTGGTGTTGGCTGTGGTGTGCCCATGTTTCCCAGGCAAAGGCGTTACTTCTGCAGTCTCCGAGGAAACTAGAGGTGCCCAC